CACCAGAAGAGCATCCATTTCTAAATAATGCAGACCTAAAAAAAAAAAAACAACAACAAAAAACCAACAACAACAACAACAACAAAAAAAAAAAAAACCACACCAAACCCCAGCGGCCTGGACCCGCAGGTGTTTTGCTTGAGACGCGCCACGGCTGAGCACGCCGCGGGCTGCCTGGGCTCCGCGCAACCGGGAAAGCTCTTCCGCAGGGATTGCGCAGCCCGGCGTTTGTGCGAGCGACAGCCATCTGCGGCGCAGCCACCCAAACGCACGCACAATACCGGCGCGAGCCCGTAATTCCCAACGCGGCAGGCAGGATGCCGGCTCCCGCCTCCCTGCAGCTTTGCGCTCGTTTCCAGCGCCGGCGTTCCCGAAAGAGGGGCTGGAGGGAGGAAACAAAACCCGCGCTCCGGAGCGCTGGGCTCGTCTCGGAAGGCATCGCCGCTCTGAAGCGGCATCCTTGCAATGGATGCTGGAAGCAGCTCTTTAAAATTCAGCAGCCTTTGTGCCTGACCACACGCAGCGACCTCTGGTATTTTCTGCCAAAACAGTTCATTTGTCTCGCACAACAACTAATCAATTCCCGAGGCCATCCATCACCGGGGGCTCGCGTGAGCCGGCCCGGCAGCGGGGCCAGATGGCGGCTGCGTTAGTGGGATTAATACAATTCTGATAGATTACACGGCATCAGGTGGGCTCCCGAAAACGAGGGGTGCCCGCTCCGCGCCCCGATCCGAAGCAGAGCCCCGCTCGCAACCGGGGTCGCTCCCAAGCATTAGGGGAAAGGGTGGAAGTTTCTAACCAGCAAAGGGCTTTTTCAGCACCCCCCCGGGGGACGGCAGAAGTGCAAAGCGAAGCTCAGGGGGGCCCCCGGGCCGACCGGCGATGTCATTCCCATCCTGGCACGCCGAGGCCGCGTGGAAGCGGCCCGAGGTAGAGCGTAGGAGGGCTCCTCCGGTGGAAGGGGAAAGGGACACAGACATTTGGCCGCGTTACTTCGCATTCTCCACCTGCCAAGTCAATGCTTTTGTTTGCTGGAAACACTTACAAACCGCACCACCCTTGCCCCCGCTTTAAAAAAATACTGAAAAATAACTTTAAAGTTGAATTTCCAATGCTACGGTATTTTTGGCATCTCCCTCGGTTTGTGTCTTAGATTAGATTTATATTGGTGACACATCAGTCAACCTCAACTCACTGCTCATTTCCCAGGTTTGTGAAACTGTAATTATAGCTATTTGATCATGAAAGAGCTCAACTACTACTGCTTTTGTTCTGGTAGTAAGACCAGAAAAGAGACATAAAGCTTTACGTAGCAGTAAAAAAAACCCCTATCACTATACCCAGCCTGAAATCACAGATAATTTCTAAATCCTTCCTTCTAGGGAAACCTCCTAGTCCCATCATCAGTCACCAGCACGCATTATTTTTATGTAATGCCCCAAGTGAGATAGGTGATTTGCAGAGAAACACAGAGGCAGAGCACTATGCTAATATATTCTGCAACTGCTCCCCATTAGTCACTGGGGGTACTTGAGCTCTTTATTGCCAGGGTTTATTAATGACTCCTAATTGATGACCAGAGCCCAGCACCCCAAAGTAAATAACTGCTATGCCTCATTAGCTCAAGAGACCTTCTCCTGATTTGAGGATTGATCTATGAACACACAAATTGCACTGATTTAACTGAATCTCTTTCTAAATTGATTTAATTAGATCGGTATAACCTGTTTCTATGGAGGCTCTTGAATTTATTTGGAATCAGTGCAATGTAGTTCTGTGAGTCAGATTGACCATTTTTTCTATCTTGTTCTCAAAGTAGAAACATTTGAGATAATTAGTGATAAGGAAAAATCAGCTCTGGCACCATCCCAGTCCCTCCTATATTTGATCCACCTGACTTTAGGGTAGGCTATGGTAACTCCACTTTGTCCAGCATCTACAGATGTGCACCCTAAAACCCAAGCATTTCATTCCACAAAACGAACATAAGCATTGTTTATGCATAAGTTTAGACAGTCAGCTTGAAAGCAATAGCATTGCTGCTTCGCTTGGTAATTTATTGCTGATGGTAAACTAGTGGTTTACACTATTTAAAACCAGATCTCTCATCTTCCTATTACACAGGAGCAGCTTGGAGGAGTTTAATCACTTGATAAACTGTTCAAAAGCTTCTGGTAAGAGTAAAATAAGTGAACCTGCTTAGGTGATCCTTCCAAACTCTGCACTTGCATTCTTGTCTGTCTCCTGGTGCAAGGTGAGGTTGTGATGCTGCCAGGCTCCAGATAAATTAGGCAGCCTTTTCCTGCCTTTGCATCAGCGGAATCCTAAAGGGCATATGGTAGGCTGTGTTTGGCAGAGTAATGCCTGATGAGAAACTGCTTCCAGCAGTCTGTCAGAACCCAGGGCTGATGAGGACTTCGAGTTTTAGTTTTTAGTACACTAAAGTGTTTTTTGCTTATTCCGGGTTTCCTTGATACGATCCTGTAGCTAGAAAATATTTATCCTATCAACAGCCCTCGGCAACAGAGACTAAACTGGTTTGATTTATATTCCAATTTTTGCGAGCTTGTTGTAAAGCTCCAGTAGGCCCACCATAAACAACTGAGTCAAAATAGTCTGTGCATGAAAGTTTTCTCAGATCTTAGGTTTTGAGGTAGGATACACGTACTCGCTGAACTTACAGCATGGGACTTACCCACAGCTATCAATGTGTTTAACGCTGGCTCAAGCTATTACATTTTCTTTCCCCTCAAACATTTTCGCTTTCTTCCTCTACAGAAAATGCCTTATTTTTTAAAGACTCCATTTGATTTAAAAATGCCATGAAGTATTACTGAATGCTAATCTTATGTTCTTGTAAGTAACCACTCACAGCCTCAGAAAAGTCACCCTTTCCACGTGAGCGGTATTACTATCAAACCAATACACTCCATGCTTTAGATAAACCTGGATGCCAAACTGAATGTCTAGAGCCACCCTTCTTTGGCTCATCTGCTTGCAGATTTGGTACCAGTGCAATTTTGCTGCTTAGGGCTATGCTTTTACTATTATAATTATCACTGTTAGAGATGTGCCTGTACTTGCACACATTGATTCCCTGTTCCAGTAAGAGAATAAACAGTAGACAAAAGCTGTAATACTTGGGCAACTGCACCAGGAAAGCTGAAGCTGTACAACCTGCACGTGGGTTAGCTTATGCTGACACTTGCTCACTTCCTATCTTGCAACTGAAGACACCCGTGCCTGCGAGCCACGCTGTGCTAATGGGCCACAGGACTTTCCATTCTGTCAGCAGGGTCAGGAGACTTCATTTAACTCACTGTCAGCAGAGTCACCCTATTCCAGCTGTGTCAGGCACTACATCTGCCTACAGCCTCATTTTGTAAGGACTGTAACTATGTTATACTAAACATACAGCACCTGTTCCTCATAGTGTGTTTGGAAAAATTGTATTCAGAGCTGTACTGTATTCAGATCTTGAAGTCCTGCAGAAGTCATGTTCTTATGAAAGTAAAACAAAAATGTGGCAAGAAGATTTAGACTAGTCAAGCCAACCAGACCACACTCTGTTTTCCATATATTGTGCTGTATTTTATAAGCAAGAAAGGGCACAGGCAGTACTTGGGATAGCCAAGACTTTGAAAGCACTGCAGGACAAAGCATAGCTCTTGCTTAGCAGCCAACACTGGGCAGCACACTGATATGTTCCACTCCTAAAAGAAGAGCTTGAACAGGATTTAAACCACAAGGTCAAACTATGAGGTCAAGGAGGTTGGCTGAGACCTACATTGACAGAGCAGGGAAGAAAAAGGAGCTTGTGGCTAGTAGAAGTGCTACTCCTCAGTGTGTTCAACTAAGGTCATAGCTGACCACCGCTGGTCAAGGTCCAGGGGTAAGTTAAAGATGTGTTGGCTCTCCTTGCGAGGCAGAGAAGGCCACTCCTGGCCAACTGTTCCATCTCACTGCAAAGCAGATTGCACCATGGAGGGAAGAGCCCGCACTACTGCCGAGCACAAAACTGTCACCCTGTTTGCTTTCACAGAACTGCCATATCAATTTCTACCTGAGCTCCTTGCAAAGGGTTTGGAGCCACCTGCTTAAGATTTATCTTTCATTACTTTGTGACAACAAGTCAAACAATGCTGTGCTAGAGTTATAAATAACACTTCAGAAAAGTTCTCAGCAAGCTTGGGAAGCTGTGTGTAGAGAAATCAGTGTTTAATTTCCTGGGACTAAAATGATGCAAGACATTCGATAAAAGAAATGGGATCACATACCCATAAATGGACGACTGCAACATGACAGCAAACACTGCTCAAAGAATTAGTCTTCCCTGACTGTTCATTTTAACTCAAAATATGATGCTGCATTCTGAAAGATCCTCCAGACAATCATTTAGGTATTGGAGTTAATATTATACTCATCATTAGTAGTCTGGAAGAGTAAAAACCAACCAAACAAGAAAACCCTGCTGTCCTTATTCAGTAGCTAATGTCACTTACTACTTGCACCTTGACAGTTTTTAAATAGCAGCCATTCTAGTTCAGTAAATGTGTTTCTGCTATGCTAGCTGCAGAAGCTAGGAAAAATTAATTTGATATAAGGTGCAAACTCTCCCTGAAGGCAAACATTGTCCAACATTAAAACCTTCACTGAACAATCCTTAATGAATGTATTGGTAAAGAAATAACTACTTGAAAAAGGTATTGTCTGAATAGCTTTCTATTAAAAATATCCAATATTACCTTTTGTTAGCCATATAACTGAAAAATGGGAAGCTTTGCCCTTCCCCCACATCTTACGCTAGGGAAAGGTTACTACCTGGCAATGATACAGGCAGTTATTGATTTAAATGATTATGGACCTGAAAAGTTCTTTCCTGTCATTTATTATCCTGTTGTAGTTGCCACCACACTTGTGCAATATTAAAAAAAAGCTTAACAAAATGACATTAGAAAAAATACTGGTTTTAACTGAAGTCCAGCACAGATAATCACCTGATTGTTTCTTCTTGATATAATGAGCTGACAACTGGGCCTCCAAATGCAGTTTTGCTTTCCTTTCCCCTCTTGTCTGTCATCTGAAAGAAAAAGAAAGATTGGTCCATCATCCTGGCTCCTGTTCTGCTCCAGCCTGTGCCGCCTCTCCACCACCTCCCACCCCTTCCCCTGCCCCAGAAATGGGATCAGCCCCCTGGAAGCCTCATCTTCACAGCAGATGGTACCCCACCACCCTACTCCATCCAGAACAGCTGGATGGGTCTCTCAGCAAACCGGATCAATGCTCCTCTGAAGGTGGCCCCGGAGGGTCACCCGAAAGTTAGGCTTGGCAGCCCCGCTGTCCTGCGCCCAATGAGCCAAAGCACTGCCGCCCCTGCGCTCCCAGCCCGGGCCCCTTAGGACCCAAAAGCCGAGCCTCTGTGAGGCAGCATAATGTTATGTTACTAGATTGCAAAGCTTGCCTTTATAAATCTATTTAATATAGATTTGAAATTGAATTTTATAATGGGCAGCATTTCCAAATGATTTACTCCCAGGAACTCTAAGATTCTGAATGATTCCCACCATAATAGAAATGAACAATCAGAATAATGATTGATCGATATGGAGCCTTGGGCCTACCTTTTCAGAAAAGCATCCTGCAGCTCGGGGTCTTCAATTGGCTGACTTTCCATTGATGCCAGACTTTCAGAAAGGGCTCAGTGCCTGGTGTCTGAAAGCCTGACCCTATTTTAGGGGGTGCAGGGCACCAGAAACCCTAACTCTTCTAGGGTATCTCCTATCTCAGTCTTTGGGTAAGCAGTCAAAACTCGCTTGCGATTCGCAGCAGTAATTCCTCACAAAACCAGCCCACTAGACGCAATGTGCTGTTGCCAAAGAACAGTTCTGTGGCTTTCTGTGACAAGAGGTTATCAAACCCAGGGTGAAAAAAATCAGAAGCAAAGGGAAAACCATCCCAAGCTCTCGCAGTCTCTCAATAGCTGCAATATGTTGCTGATTACACCAAAAAGCATTGCTGCCTCATCAGAATTCTACATAGAAAGGTGGCGATTTATTTTTTAAATAAAACATGCTCACATTTGTCTTTCTCCCTGCTCCCTAGGATGCTTTTGTTTTAAATCAGTCTAGGATTTCCCCGTAATACATTCACTTTTACTTTCTGTCCAGTTTGAGCCAACCAGTTCCACGTTTCAGCTGTCCTGTACCAGCCCAAAGCTGTAGTATTTGAGCTTGCAGGTATCACAGACATACTTCCTTACGAGAAAAAATGGAAAGGAAATTGGCTTTGAAAACTTCTATGGCAAGTAGGCTCTCTCTAATTTAGAGCAAAAGGTGACACCAAGTTCTCTTTTCCTGAAGGGAAAGGGCTTCAGAATCTTTACAGTGCAATGGCCCTCTTAAAAAATTATTTAGCAGAGAACCTTACTGTCCATCAATTATTTCCACACCAATTATAAAGAAAATTAATTTCAGATCATCTGCTAGAACATGCAAGAGTTATTTCTACAAAATGAAGCCATTCTCACAACTAGTCTATCATCTTTGATACTGAGGGACAGTGGCCATTCAACCAGCATCAAAAACTACAAAAAATTTTTAATCTATATTCTTTCATCTCTTCCCACTGCAGTTTTTGGTTGTTGCTTTTTTCCCCCAAGTCAGAAACAACACTTGAGAAAATACATTTCATCTTTCTACAGGCAGAAATTGTAAAAGAGGTTTCTTGGATTAAGTTCACCTTCTTTGCACCACCAATGCACTTCTACCAAAGATTAATCAAGTTGATTGAGTACACATAAGGTCATCGGGAAACTTAGCGATAAAGGCTTTCCCAAAAATGCTCAGGCAAAAACTTCTCTGGCTTTTAATCCATATACAGGTTACTTTGTCCAAGTAGCTTTTATCTCATCTCTTTCACACAGAAATAGGTAACTCAATATTCAATTTATGCATGTTGAACCAAGCTTATTTCATCACAGTCCTCAATATGTAGAATAAGTTTATGAAAAATGTACAGGAAACGTCTCAGCTATCCTCTCAGGATTTCATGTGCGCCTCTACTCTTCAAAGCCATAGAACACAGCATCACCGCTCCACGATTCATCACCACTGGACTTCCCAAGGGGAATCTGTCCAGGCTACAAGGAACGCTTCTTCCCAAAAACGTTAGCTCTGCCTCAACGCAGATGCAAACTGGTTTCTTTCCAGCCGCCCTTGACAACTTGCCTACACCATGAGCTCATCTGCCCGCTTCCAATATCTATACCACCCAGCCTGCCAGGGACTCGCACGCAGTATCGGAGCACAACGTACCAGGCTGGGTAATGAAAAAGGTGGGACAGAACCAGTTGCTCCTTCCAAACCACATCACAGCTATTGTACTAACGGGAACCAGTGTTTTTATTTGTCGCTCACACTGGCTGAAGGGATCAGTAGCGTGCAGATGCACTTTCCTTCTTATACCTCTTGACATTCCTACAGCAGAAAAGGGCTCTTAGGGCTGGAAAAATAATGTGAACACTACATATACACAGATAATGACTGGTGAGTTTAAAGTCACACTACCCTGCAAACCACAATGAAATTAAAAACTGACACTGCAAATTTTCTCTCTCCTCTGTTAAAAAAGGCACTAATAATTAACTATGTGGCTCTCAATTAAGCCAGCTCAATTTCTTTCACTGCTGGCAGCGCTGTCCAAAAGCACTGCAGATACACATGTAACTAATGATAGTTAAGAAATAACACAATCCCAGGCTCCCATAATTTGCAACCTGAATCCAACAGAGATGACAGCAGTATTATCTGCAGTCAGGACCATGTAAGAGAGATACTGCAGAAAAGGCAAAATTACTGTGGGCTCCATAATCGTGAGGGGGTTGCCCTCAAACTGCCAGTTAAAAACTGTGGGAATAAAGGGGAATTTATGACAGTATGGGAAGAAACCTTGGAGTATTGCACTTGAGTGCCAAAGCGCAGGCAGCAGCACATAAGAGATCCGGGAAGAGACAATAAAGAAGTGCAAGAGATGCCTTAAGAGGCACTGGAATTTCTCGTGTTTTCCCCTAATTCTTGCCCATTGATTCTTTGTTGCTCATATACAATTAAGGCTGATATCAAAGTCACTATTACTCTTGACAGTTAACTTTGGTAGGTGGATCTGGTTGACCAAAGCTAGCATAAATCATGGGCAAATATGTGCTTCTGTATGCAGCATACGTACTCATTAAGAGACATTTTCAACTCCCCTGACTCCCAATGTGCTCATGGAGTGGCGCAGGGAACTCCACTAAGCCCAGACCTATCCTTCTCAAATGTCACCAGGAATGCCAGGAGAAAAGCCGCACTCCTCCTGGAACAGACAGCAGAGCATCCTCATCCCTGCCTCAGTGCACTGTATTTGTCAATAAAAGACCAGCTCGATTCAAGGTACAATTGCATCTCGACTGGCTGTCACTGACAATGCTGCTTCAGATGGCCTCAAAGGCTGACAACCACTTTCTGAACAAAATGGAAATACAGGGACTAATATTTGCTAACATCATTAATTCATTTTTTTCTCCACTCCCCCTTCTTCCTTTATCCACGATGTCAAGATGTATACCTTTAAATTGTTGTCAGCCATAAAACAGACATCGTGTCCCAGTTCAGAGGTTAACATATAATGACAGACACATTAAAAAACCCTGTCCAATGCCTCACTGACAATTTCAGCTCCATCTTCTCTTCAACGAGACAGTAGCTCAAACTCACTTATAAGCTTTAACAACATTAAAGTCTAATCATGATTGAAAAATAAAGGAGAAAAGCAAGATAGTTTTATCATACCAAGCATTATGGAAGCAGAAAACAATTAGAGACAAACATTTTCTTTGCGAGGGTTTTGAGACAAAAATAGAAGGTGAACTCAAAAGCCTCCCGTGATCACAGCATAACCCATTTCTCTTGCATTTTTGGAGAGCAGGATGAAGATTACTGTCTAAGAGGAAGATTGGTAGTTTCTTGTCAGGGGCTGGTTTGGTGGGCCAACCTCTTGCTATATCCCTGAGGACAGGGTAGGGATTTATTATGTTTCATCTCTGAGCTCAAGTTTTGTTCCAATCTACACAAAACAGGCTACAACAAATCTAAGAAGATGGCATTTCCAAGGGCCCTCCTGATGACTCACTTCAACCTCACATCCCAGAACCTGTTACAGAGATGCAAGTGAACTTATCATTGGTGATTAGCTGGGACTGAGCTGGACCGAATGGTACACAGCTATTTTATATGCAGGGCAAAGGAATCATAAATTTGACAGAAGGAAAGGTACAAAAAAGTCCTACAAAGATACTACAAAACATCAGGAATAGCACAAGTTTCGGTAAAGCTTTTAGAAACCCCCCAGACCATAAATTGGGAATTAACAGAAGAGCTAGATCCTGGGCGTGGGCTAAATGTTTGGTATCTCAGTTCTATCCAGAGCAAAATGAGAACTCTACCTGGCTAGTTTTGCATATCTAGACACCTGGCACACACAGCAGCAATAGCTGTTTGGCAAGGCACATGGCTGTGTTGCACAGCACATCTATCATTCCCCCAATTCCCTCACATCTCACTCTGGCTTTTTTCCACACCCAAAACCTTTAAGTAGTTTCACATAAATATATATTTAAGAAAAAGAGAAAGCCATTAGCAAAACAGTTCATCTCATCAAAATACTTATCTTTGAAGTTACACTGGCTAATGCCTTAAAACGGTCAAGACTTAGGTTCTTCATCATCACGCGTCTTGGAAACAGAAAAGTGAGACAACTTAAATCATAGACTGGTTTTGGGTTGGCAGGGACCTTAAAGCTCATCTAGTCCCATCCCCCCTGCCCTGGGCAGGGCCCCCTTCCCCCAGCCCAGGGGGCTCCCAGCCCCGTCCAACCTGGCCTTGAACCCTTCCAGGGAGGGGGCACCCACAGCTGCTCTGGGCACCCTGGGCCAGTGCCTCACCCCCCACATAGGGAACAATTTCTTCCTTACATCCACTGTAAATCTTCTGTCAGTTTAAAGCCATTACCCCTCATCCTATCACTGGATGTCCTTGTAAAAAG